ATCCGATCCAAGCATTGCTACGGCCCCAGAGGTGAGCAGCGCAGCCGAATCTTCCTCTCCAGAAAGCTCTGGCTCACCCTCCGATGCTGCAATCGACATCCGATCGTCGGGGGGAGCCTCGGAAGAAACAGGTGGTACCTCAGGTCTTTTTGAGAGCTCCGTGACCGTTAGACCAGTCCACCCACCGCCAGAAAAAGGATGCCCCCGGCTGCCACCAGAGGGAACCCCAGATCTAGGAAGTGGCACGGGCACTCCGCCTCCTTGCAGGTAACGGAGTCCGGTCCGCGACTCCGAGATGGTCATACCCCCGCAATGGGAGCATGAGCCATCCACGAAAGCCACCTCAGCGTGCTTCATGCCCAGGCACGAGAGGCAGCGATCGTGACCATCACCCAGCGCCAGCTAACGACCGCATCCAGAACGCCCGGGTGATACGTTGTCTATAGCAAGACCCACATCGTCTTTATAAAGACGTAACGTCAAGTTTGCCAAGCAACGTCGTCTTTAAAAAGACGCACCCGAAATTGCCCTTTTAGGGGAAAAAGCTCTTTTAGCTTGCTGAGGCGTACAGGGGAGATGATCATCTGCAACACAAACAGGGGGTAGTGCAGCCTGATGTGTGCAACCCACTCGACACGGGAAACCACCACCGCTGAAGCGCCGTACCGCCAACACGAAGAGCTCTCCAAGAGCGCGCTGAACTCGTTCAGTCTTCTTCTCTCAGTAGAGTAGTCAGGAGCAGAACGATGTGATTGCTCGGCTCCGAAGCGAAAAGCTGAATATGCGCTGCATCTGCTGCCTACTTATACTCACACTGTGATCAGCAGCAGCTGGATGCAATAATTGCATGCCAATGTGCATTGGCTCGTTTAGTTTACACTCGAAGTAGATTGGTCCCTCTAAGCGAGATTCCAATTTCATCGGTCATCCGACGTGACGTCGGGAGTGACTGACTGAAAGGGAACCCTGTTTATGAATTGGTCAGTTTTGAGATTTAGGGCTAATTTGATATTTACTGATGTTCTGAAAGTTTTTACAGAGTGCATATTTAATTAGATAATTCCTTTTTTGCTTACTTTTCAGACATTTCAGAAATCTTGTAATACAAAATGTATTGTGTTATGCTGTGAAAAAGTGGCTGGAGAAATATGATGATATCTATTAGTTTTAATCTGTTTTCAATCACATAAATACATGTAAATATTTTCAAAATATATACTGCATGTGTGTGTATTTATATACAAATAATAAATAAACACAGTATACACACATATATTATGTAAACAAAAACTTTTATTTTGGATGCGATTAATCGCGATTAATTGTTTGACAGCACTAATATATATATATTTTGAAAACATGCTTTTAGAACTTCTTCCCAGTTAAAAAAGACCATTAACTGAAACTTAAAAGCAAAAATATCTCAAAATTGTTTTTGTTCCAAACAAACAGATTCTGTCTGCAATCCAGCCAAGCTACTCTAATGCAGAGCTTAACTCACGCAGAACAGACTGTGAGCAGTATTAACAGTGAACTCATCCAAGTTCAAATCAATTTAAGCATGTCAGCTGAGCTCTTCAGCATCTAACAGCATGATTTACACACTTCCTTCATTACATAACGATTCTGTACATCCTGCGAGACAGATTCCTCCTTCTGTTAACCAAAGCCCCAAACACACTTAAGTGAATAAAACAACACCATTATGCAAATCACAGAGACTGTGTGGTGGCCGGTATTGATCGTCTGCCGGTGTGGATGCATCTTTAGAGAATGAAAAAGGAAAAAGGAAAAACAAAGCACTAAAAATGACAGACGCGCTGGCTGTCGGAGCAGTGGATGGGAAATGACCCGAGAGGTCAGAGGAACAGGAACACTTACACAGAAATGAGAAAAAGAGGATGCCAGAGCTACCCAGTTCGTTTCACATTTCAAACAAATGTATTCTTGTTCTGTCGAGGAGATGGTGGGAAGGAAGGATGCCGTTATATCAGAACTGACGCAAACAGGAGAAATAACAAGAACTCTTTTTGCATGTTAGGTGAGTCAAACACTGTTTAAGACGGACTTCAAGGAGCTTCTCATGAACAGGCTAGGAGAAGTTCATTTTCTCTGCACATTTTTGGACATTGTTTATTTTCAAAAGAGAAGCTGGAGTTGTTTCATTATTAGCTTTGCCTCCTGGTGTCAGGCGTGAAGAGAGTTTGTATGATATTTCACAGTACGCTCTTAAAAACAAAGCTTCCAAAGGGAGGTTTTCACAGCAATGCCACAGCGTTTGTGGAATGGATAGGTTCTATGGATGCTAAAGGTTCTTCATGGAACCATAGATGCCAAACAAGAACCTTTTAGATTTTTAGATTATTCACAAACCACCTCAAAATATGGGCAAACAGGACATCTTATATTGTCAAAAATTGTTTTATGCAGATCAAATTGAGCATGGACAGTCCTATGTGATATAGCAGTACTAAATATCTTCATGGAACATGATCTCTACTTAATATCCTAATGATTTTTGGCATAAAAGAAAAATCTATAATTTTGACCCATACAATGTATTTTTGGCTATTGCTACAAATATACCCCAGCGACTTAAGACAGTTTTTTTGTGCTCCAGGGTCACATTTATCAAAGCATATACAGTATATTGTACTACTTACTGTATAAAATACTCTCAATGTGATTTTTACAGACCCTCATCACAATATGCTTTAGTTTTATGGAGAAAAAAAAAAGAAAGGAGTTTGGAAAACGTATCTTTTGTTTTAAAGAATGAAAGTCATACATGTGTGGAACAAAACCAGAAGTATCACTGTTGGGCGAACAAAGACAAGTGTTTGTACTTACTGTCAGTATTTGGGCCGCTCTCCATAACACCGTAGGGAGGGACCAGCAGACCAGCCATGCACTGACGATAATTCTGAAAGATACAAACACTCCAGTCACATACGAGAGGTGGCACAAAGACATCGAAAATAAATGAATAAATTACTTGAAATAGTTAAACAATGTCAACATGAAACTCAATTTGACCCAAAGTACTTAGTACGTGTTCCTGGTCTTTTCGTACAAACTTCATCAGTTATTGCAAAGAAAAACACGTTTGTTTTCTCGGTTTTTCATCAAAACTTTCCTTTATATCTGGTCACTTTTTTCAACTCTTTTCTGCTAATCACTTGCTATATAGAGACATTTCTCATGATCCAATCATCTCCTGGTGGATAAAATCAAGTCCTGCCCTACATTTCTGGTTGTAAATCCTGTTTCACTTGGAAATGCATCAGAATGTGGAGGTAAATGGGTTGTGAACAACATTTCTTATGAGTAGAAGAGTTGGTCATATATGAATAATAGTCGCAGACACGCACAAACACACACACACACACACACACACACACACACACACAATCACACTTGCTCAGTGATGTAAAAACTATAAGAGACATAACTAACAGCATGAGTTTTGAGTAACGGTACACATAATACACACATGAAAACCACCATAAACCTGGTCCCCCAACTGAGTCTGCTTCCTCACAAGGTTTTTCTCGCCTAAACATCCCATGAAATTTCTTGCCATAGTCGCCTAAAATCTAGTTTAGCTTTAGAGCTGCAGCCCAGAACGATGGACTCATCCGAGCACAAATAAGAAAAGCAGTTTGAGAGGAAGAGTTTGGAGAGTCGTCTGTAATCTCTTTAATCAGGTCTGACTGCAGATCAGAAAGGATTATGCTGGATTAAATCAATATTTCTGAACCAAAGATCAGACGGCACACACAGGTCACACACATATGCACATTACTGACACAGAGCTCCTGATGTACAGTACACATCAAATATTATCACAGGTACCAGCTCTATATACCAGTAGTCTTTATGCACACTATATGCAATGCATTCATGCCTTAAAATAAACGTTAACTTCACGGTGTTAAAGATAGTAGACTTTAGCATACTTTTCAATAGAGTGCCTATTACAAAAAACAATACAATTTAAAAGAATATTCTTAAGTGTATCTTAAGTAAGAATATTCATTTTTGGACACTTAATTACATGTTAATGAAAATGCATTTAAATGTATATTAAGTGCAGTATATTTTTGATCCACTTGGGTAGGACTTAAGTACATTTATATTTGTAATGTGATAATTACTTCTGTTGTCTTTACTAAGTGTAGTACTGAATACGGACTATAGCATTAATAGTAAACTAAAATCTACTTTTATGTCATTTCTATTGAATATTTTATGCCATGTATTTAAGTATATTTGTAATTACACATTTCAAATGATGAAGATGCAATTTAGCATATTTAATATACACAGTATATATATATTAGTGCTGTCAAACGATTAATCGCTATTAATCACATCGAAAATAAAAGTTTTTGTTTACATAATATGTGTGTGTGTCCTGTGTATATTTATTATGTATATATAAATGCACACACATTCATTATATATGTTTTAAATATGTACATGCATATACATTTATATATTAATATTATTATATTTTATATTATATTATATATAAATATGTTGAATATAAACATAACATATTTTTCTTAAATATCTTTTTTTATTTTTTTTGGGAGAGGATTTCATTTTGTCATGTTTCCAGCTTTCTAGTATAGCAAGTTATTAAGAAATATTAATATTTGTTTGTTTGTTTCCTTTCTTAAATACTTTTTTCTTAAAAAAAAAAGTTTCGAAAAAAAGGATGATAATAAGAGAGCACACCGTTACTCGACATTTCCATTAACATCTTTAACTTGACATCAAATTATAGACAGACGGACAGATGGAAAGATAGTGCCGTTGGGCAAGGCACTTAACCTTGGATTTCTCTGGAGGAGAGCACTAGTATACTTTATGTTGCTTTGGACAAAAGCATCTGCTAATTATAGACACACGAGAGAGATTAGTGCCCATTTAGTGTTTGGCAAAAGAGTAGAAAGTCCATCCAAAGTGTCATCCATAATAGGTTTAAGACCTCAACACATGCAGAGGTTTCGCACATCCCCAAAGACCGTATTCAATATGTCAATAAATTTAATTAACATCTGTTCTGATCCATCAAACCTAATACAGAACTGAAGACGTTTTACATCACTGTCTCTTTATAAAGGATTCAGAGTTGAGAACATGCAATAAAACACAGTTGATAAATATCATTATATAGACAGAACAAGCTGATAGTATCACTCTCAAAGCTGAATGTTTTATTAACAGGAGGTGCCAATAAATGAAGCTCAGTGACTAATGACACAGAGGCGGCCTGAGCCATTAACCAAGACACCTGGGACAGTTAATGTGGCCTTTCTGTGGCTCAGATGTGAGTGTCTGGCTCTCTGGGGAGTGGAGTCTCTCTGAGAGAGGACAAGTCATTATCTCTGACTGATGCATCCCATAAATCACACAAACCCAGCCTAATATGTCATATGTCTATCGATAAATGACACAACACTGAACACAGCAGTCAGAGAGTGAGTGTGCATATGGGGTTAGTTCTAGAGCCTGACCGATATATCGTTTTGCCGATATGAGCCTGTCGCTGATATATCAGTATCGCCGAATATGCCGCCGATATGAAATTTTTTTTACAGAACATATAACGCAGATAAAATGCTTGAAATGGTGTAATTACTTAGTTTGTCCAGCAGAGCGTGATCCATTGTTTGCTACTGGCGACCTGGATGAAACGCTTTAATGGAAAACCATTGAAACTTTGAACGGCCATTTCTCCGTAACGGCGCAGTGAATCCGTACCAAATTCCACACCAAATTCCAGTTCGAGGAACCCTCTCAAACGCGAATCGAGTGTACGTCTAGAGGCCTGCTTTCGAATGAGACCACCCCCGCGTCGATAGCCCCCGGGGTTCGGGAGTTACGGGTGGTTAAATTCGCGGTCCGGCGCCAACCGATCAAGCGATCCCAGGGTGGCGTTCGAAAGGGCTCCTTGAGCTGAAGGGATGCCCCAAATTTGGTGGAGATCCACCGGCGCGTTCGCGAGATAGCGACACCAGTCAACACTTTCACTTCAGTAAGGAGGTCTCTTGTTCAGGCAGCAGCATTCAAGCATTGTCTTATTCAAGTAAGTAAGTAAGTAAGTGCCCTGCGAAGTGAACTTCACATGATATTCCGCCATGATTCCAGTTCCAAGGGAACGCACACGTTACATTCAAAGGGCATTAAAGTGTGCGAGACGTGAATTTATATTGTATTTATTTACAGAGGTATATTATGTCACACTTCTCTAGTAAGTTTTGTCTGTGTGTGAAGATAGTAGCGCAAATCCGTGAATGAATGTTCTGAAGTGAAATAAACTTCAATGGAATAAAGTTGAATGGAACTGAATTGAATTAAAGTTGAATAAACTTAAACTTTACTGTTCAGTGCACTGATGTCAGACTCATTTTGGATAATAAAGTTTATTGTTAAATTGTTAAATGCCCTGCCTCCATTACGTATCTCTGTCACGTCATTATAAGTGTTTACCACCACATTTGAGTGATCATTGCAAAAAATGTGTTTATGTATATATATTCTGTTTATATATACTGTATATATATATAAATAGTACCAGTCAAATGTTTGGACCCTTGAATGGGAAAGTGTCCAAACTTTTGTGAGGTATACCTATGATGAAAATTACAGGCCTCTCTCATCTTTTTAAGTGGGAGAACTTGCACAATTGGTGGCTGACTAAATACTTTTTTGCCCCACTGTATGTACTATTACATATGCAAAGAATATATCGATATCGGCCTTTTTTTTTACTCCCTAATATCGGTATCGGCCCCAAAAAAACCCATATCAGTCGGGCTCTAGTTAGTTCACCCAAAAAATGTTCAAACCCACATGATTTACTTTCTTCCACGAGTCAGATTTTTTCTATGAACTGCATGAGATCGTTCACAAAGCCAGTCTGAATGATTCAGTCATCATCTGGACTAATCCAAGCCTCGAGTTCGAATCACTACCTGAATGATCCGTTACAACTCACTAGAGTGGAAGGTTATCAGTGATCAGAGAAAAGATTTGAACTACATTTCTTGCATAGAAAGAAAAAACAACTACCAATCTTCAAAACCACAGTCTTCAAAATTCTCATTTAGTGTTGATCATCTGGGATTGGGTTTACATTTACACATTTGACAGAAGCTTGCATACATAGCTACACATTTTTAATTAGTTTTTGCTTTCCCAGGGAGTTGAGCCCATGGTGTTGGTAGCACTCTGCTGTTTGAGCTACAGGAAGGTAATCCATATATGTCAGGAGTGCTGTAAAGGATCCACGTGCAAAGGCAGTCCGTTAGAATCAGTCTCTTTATTGAAGACACAAAACAAGGCAGTCTGTCGTACGATGACACAGAACTTGATGAAACAACGAAACACAAATCGACCGGGGATGGTCTGGTTCTGAGGACTCCCGTCTTGGAGAAAGAGAGCTCGTATGGGCTGGGCTCACTGGAAGCAGCCACCGGGCACCGAGAACACTAAGACGAGCACAGCACACTAAGCAAGACAAGACATGGTCAGAACTCTGATAATATCGCCATGAAGGGCCAAACAATACCGTATGCATGTCACACAATAATCCGACAGAGAACAGTGAACCCAACCACTAGAAATAGAGTGACTAATAGATCAGAGTGGAAACAGGTGTCCCCACAAAGTAGCACACACGCTGATTGTGATGACAAACAGGTGGAGATGAGAGCTAGAATGAGCATGGGTGTGCATGATAGAGTATGTATGTGTGAGTGAGAGAGAAAGAGAAGCAAACCCAGCTCATGACAATATATGTCTCACAGATTGACATGAGTAATAAATTATTACAGATTTTCATGCAACAATATTCAGACATGTCAAATTTTGCCTTCAGAGACTAAATGCGTCTTGAGGCCAGTGTACATT